ATAGGTAACTTCGTGTACGCGTTATAAAGATCGCTTATAAAAAGCTATAATTTTCTTAAAAATTAACCTTAAAACTAGGTTTAACCTTATACGTATAGTAGAAGGCTACGAATAAAAGATAGCCTTTAAGTGTAAATATAATCTCTTTAAATATACGATAATGCTATTAGGTCTTATTAATGCTTCTATTACCTTTTAGGTAATAATAAACGGTATTTTTTAAGATTTAATTAACGCTAGTATTCTAGTATACTTAAATAATATTCTTATTTACGTGAGCTCTATTAAAGAATATAATACTATAATTAAAGGGGTACTTACTTATCTCTTCTAATATAATCTAGTAGTAGCCCCCTAGAAATGCTATTAAAGAGTATTAAAAGTGGAATTTCTTAGCTATATTATCTCTATAAAGAATATATTAATGTTTAAGGAGAAGGTTAAATGTATTCGCGTATAAAAAACGCTTAAGAATACTAAGAACGTCTAAAAATTCATGGAATTCGCTAATTTTTACTAATGATTTATTAAAGGGTTTTTAAAAATCGTTAAACCTCTTATAAACGTTTTAAAATCTTAGGCTTAAATAATAAAGATATAAAACGCCTTTAACTAGCTTAAAGTAGCCTTTTATATAGCTTTAATCCTAACTTATTTTAACCTAGTCTTATCTTCTTAGGTTAAAGTAAATGCCTTAAACTTTACTTTAAGCGTAGTACTCTCCTAGAAAAGTTCTAATAGAAAGTAGTATCTTATAGCTTTTTATTTAAGAAAGCTATTACTAGCGAAAATAAACTATAAGATATATAATAAAGAGCTCCTAGCTATAATAGATTTATTTAAACGCTAGTATTAGTACTTAAAGGGTATTATATATTATATTAAGGTTTACTTTAACCACTAAAACCTTAATTACTTTATAATAGTTAAAGTCCTTAATTACTATTAAGCCTAATAAGCTTAAAAGCTAATAGGATTCTAGTTTATTATTAATTATTTATTAAGAAAGTCTAATAATAAAGTAATATTCTTTCTTAACTCTCTTAGTATAAGCTAAATAAAAGGGAAGGTAAAGACTAGCTAATATTAATAGTCTTATAAAAGAAATACTTTTATTCTCCTTTAATAACCCTACTAATATTAGATTAAATTTATAGCCTAATAGTAAAGGGTTAAAACCTTAACTTTCTTTAATAGCTTTAAGCGTTAATAATAGATAACTTTACCTATTAAGAAGAACTAAGAAAGCTATTAAAAATATTAATAATTAAGAATAGCCTTTTATATAAGAAAGGTTATCTTTAGGTTTTAAAAGCTATTTAAAAGATAATAGTTAAAAACTATATATATAATTATCTTAAATACTAAAGAAATAAAAACTTATAGTATATAGCCTTTAAACTTCTTTAGCTATTAGAACTCTATTACTAGTCTTAGTAATTAATAGTAATAAACTTTATTATAAACCTACTCTTATTAAATGAATATAACTTAATTTAGGTTATAATAAACCCCTTTATTAAAATAGCTTACTTTATACCTCTTCTAGTAAAAGAAAAGAAGACGAAAAACCTAATTTAAATCTTCGCTTAGATTTACTAGAAGCATTATAGGGTGCTATAAGATATTATATTAGATAAAGACTCGTGATTTACGGTACACTTATAAACTAACTTTCTTAAGCTTATAGGAATTAAGAGTTAAATAAGCACTGCCTTTTATTCGTAAATAAACGAATAAATAAAGCGTACGAATTAAACCCTTAAAGTATATCTTTCAGCCTTTATAAACTATAAAATATTAAACTAAGAAAACCTTCTTCTAATAGTAGAATTCGTATATAATAACTTTATATTAGCTTTAATTAAGATAACGTTATTTTACGCGAATTATAGCTTTTACCTTATAATAAGTAACCCGTTTATATTATAAGAAGAACCTAAAAACCTTAAAAGTAAATTATACTCTTATTAAATAATTTAAGTATATAAGAAAGCTAAGAAACATTTAAAATAAAGCTAATAATAAATAAAAGATTAGTTTAACTAATAACGTATAAAAGCCTTTAAATATAAAGTGAATGAACTTATAATATTAAATGCCTAAAATATTAAGATAAAGTAACCCGCTAAGAAACTAAATAAGAAGATATTAGAACCCTTTAAGATAATTAAGGTAATCTCCTTAATAATAGTATAATTAGCTCTATTAGCTTCTTAAAGAATCTATAATTCCTTTCACGTCTTCTTAATTAAGCTATTTTATATAAATAATAATTAAGAAGCTTTTAATACTATATAGATTCTATAAAACGCGTTACCTATTAAGGTAAATAAAGATTATTAAGTGAAAGTAATTAAGGACTTCTAGTAGACTAATAATAGTAACGTAAAGTACTTAATTAAGTGGAAAAATTAACTAGCTAAAAAGCGTTAAACCTAAGAGTTCTATAAACACTTCTTAGATAAGAATATAAAGTCTCTATTATAATAGTATAAGTTAAATAATCCTAATAAGCCTTAAAATAAAAGGGTGTAAATAACCTTATATCGCTTAAGGTTAAGCTTATAAAAGAAGAGAGCTAATATTACACGAATTAAGTTAAGTAAGAATTAAAAGCCCTTTATTATATAAAGAGATTACAAGAACTATAAGGCACACTAGGCACGGGCCGTTCCTTTCATATATATAAGATGGTCTCCCCTCGCCCTCTAGCTTAGAGAAACCAAGGACCTTTAACATCCTACAAGATTATCATTGAATTGAGCCCTTTTGCTTCAAGCCCTCTATTGAGCCCTTGTCACAAATAGCTTACATATCCTTGTTAACCTCTTGGCCGAAGTGACCATTCAACCGAGCAGCCACCGGTAGCTCGGGAGGCTGGCTTTTCCCTTCATCACTCGTGTTCCAGAGAAGCTGTGCCTGTTTGCACCACCTAAAATGTTCCAGAAACTCATCCCGCGCATATACCTTTGTGCAAACCTCGCGTGCCCATGACCAGCTATCTAAGCTGACACCGATAATGCCTTTTTCGACAGCTAGTTGACACCCGGCACAGGACACAACGTCTTCGACTTTGCCTGTTTGTGTATCATAATAAGGAAGCGCACACGACCCCATAAAGTTCAGGGCTTGATTCGGCGCCGGCGGAATGAACACTACCCGCGTCGGTTTTAGCGGTTGCTGGTCCGATATGAATAGTGCCTGCAGAGCAGAGACAATCGTAACGCGAGATTTGTATGTGGATTTCTTTATCCTGTATGTTCCAGGCAGAGACTTGAACGATTTTAGTTGGGCTAAGTCAGCCTTGGTCAAATGGAAACACCTGCGAGCAAAAGTGAGAGAGTACATTTGGGTCTCCGGTGCCGACTGAAAGCATCTGTAACAGCATCGTATCCATGTTAACAGGAATATGAAGCCAGCAAACTCATTGCATATGTCGCAAGCCTTTGTGCAGAGTGCGCGATAACAGTCCAGTAAGGAAACGCTGGTGGCAACTCCCGTTCGCAGCAAGGCACAGACAAGGTTTAGCCCGTGCAAGACGAGCATCTGGTATTGCTTCAGAGAATATAGCATCTCTCTCGACCTGAGATTTGTTTGCCCAAAGTTGAACAGAGATTGCATATCTAGGCGTAACAAGACATTATGCAAGAGTTCTGGGGGTAGCCGTTCGAGGGGGCCGAGTCCCGTGTTGGAGGATCGCTGAAATGGTGTTGTTATCGACTGACGAATGGGATCATGTTGACTGGGCGGAAACCATATGGCTGATTGACATAATTCTTTGCGGGGGTAGGTGACGGTTCGGATAATGGCATCGGCGTGGTTTTCATGAAAATGGAACTCGGTGTCGGAGTGATATTCACGAGGCGCAGAGATAGGCATTTTCGACCTTGTCGACCTTGAATGAAAAGGACACCAGACTAGTCTCAGACGTCATTAGTTGTTTAACGGTCGCGTCTGGTTTGAACGACCGCGACAGGGTTGGTCAGAAAGCGAACTGATCACGTGGACGCGAGCTTCCCGTTATGACATCATGAGGAATGCCACTTCCTGTGTCTTCTCCCGATTCTAGTTTTACGGTCTTCAATGCCAAACAAAGCCTCTTTGAGATGAATCGTCTTTGGCTAAAGGAGAGGCTGTCCTCTTACCTCAATGTTTCCGTGCGCCAATTGTGCCGCCACAAATTCGAAATTTCGGGCCCCTGACGCCACCCAAATTGCGCCAGGCATTTTGTGCGGCCAAGTGAGGCCTGTGAAGGAGACGCCAGTCGACGCAGCAAGCAGCGTGCGTGTCTACATCCGTCGTTTGAAGCGGACGGTTGTGACACTGGTGAGTGGTGACGCTGGTGAGTGGTGACACTGGTGAGTGGTGACGCTGGTGAGTGGTGACACTGGTGAGTGGTGCCACTGGTGAGTGGTGACACTGGTGGGTGGTGACACTGGTGAGTGTGCCACTTCCTAATGCCACGAGAGAGAAACCATGTTGAGTCAAATGGATAGGCTAGAATTCGGGAAAAATGGCAATCCATTTCGGTGACTGATCATCACGGTAGTCATGTAGATGGCCAAGTCAGTTACAATACTCGACTACGTAGTCCCTATGATACAACATACAACTCTGCCTCCAGATATTGATATACCATCAAATATATCCCGGTGATTTCCGACAGGGTCTAGTGGTCATGGTGTGGTTTTGGCATTATTCGAGGCGTGCCCTTGCTCACTGTGAAATCTTGGAATGTCGCCCAGTAGCGAAAAGTCTGCAGACGACAACGGATAGTCAAGCTGCCAGTCTTCGAACCCACCTAGTAACATATCCAAAGTGGCAAACGCCCCCTCTTCAGTGGTCGAGTTGAAATTACTCAAGTCCCCCAAACCCTCTTCGCCCATCGAATCACTGTTTGTCAACCACAACTCTTGACAAGACCACTCAGAAATATCGGTGTATAGTAGTGAAGAGGCCGAGCTTTGGGTCCCGTTAGTGTCAACGATTGGAAGGGGAGTCGGGTCAGCCCGCTCCGCGTCGCTTATAGGAGGGCAGAATCTGTAGACGCGTCCCGGTTGTCTTGGTTGTTTTCCCCCCGTGGTTTTGTCGGTTCGCAAATGCAGACTTCGCCATCAAGACAGAGACCACGTTCCTCAAGACTATCAGAAAGACACCTTACTGGTACTGTGGTGGTTGACAGTGGCATTTTGTTCAGCGGATGCACACTTGCACGTTATATGAAAAGAGCGGGGTTGGCGGAGCGAGCGACAGTGATTGCATTGAGAAACTGGTCGCCCTTTGTCGCGAATAGACTGAGGAGTACGGTCCAGATAGCTGAAATTAGAAAGTCTGATAGCTGTTTTCCATCCTGAGATAATACTACTTACCGACATGTTCACATTGGGTGACGCCGTGGCCACGATTGCTGGTATCGCAGGCAAGCTTTTCTTCGTCGATAATCATTCCGTGAAGCAGTGCCGAGGGTTGTTTCCTGTTATAAATGGCACACAGTAAACGCGTTGAAGAACTGGGAAGAGAAATATGGAAGAGCAAAGAACTTGACCAAGGTTGTGACCGGCTAGCCACACTTGGCTGCGCCTACTAATGCGCGGCAATGATTGATCTGCGGGTTGCTGATATGGGTCAGAGCGACGAAGTGACTTTCCGGCAGTTAGAATAGCAAAAGCGGGCAAGTAGCTAGTTGACTTACCAACTCGGTATAGATGATTCTTCAACATACATTGTTTTGTCTTATCAATCCCCCTGTATTTGGATGATGATGGGAGCAATTATGTTGCAGTCGTATAGATAGCAGACGTTTGGCTATACCGCTAGCCACCAACAAAAAGTATGTAGCACCATCGCCGGACAATCACTCTTTGAGAAAGCCACTCTGAAATTATAAATAGCCATTCTGTAGATAGTTTCTTACTGGGACAACGCCTCAATCGACTCTATAATATAATGGATGCAGATAAAAATCTGCGCGCCAATGCGCCATGTCGAAAAATAGCAATTAGAGCGCGCATTAAATGATCATTGAGAAACGCTCTATTATGTGGGTAATAACGTGATGGTAAAATATTTTAAGACAAGCTTGTATACACTAGGTGCTATACTTCATAACGACATGGTGACACCATATGCACATATGAGTTTTTTCATATCTCTGAAGGCCTTCGGGGAATGTTCCGTATCTTAAACTTTTATTGTCCTGTAAATAACGAATCGGAGTCTATGGAATCTATCAAGGAGAGTACCCAGAGAGTGTAGTAAAAGGCCGGACCGAATTAAAGATTCGGTTCGGGCATGATAGAGTCCGGGAGCCGTTTCTCAAGTCTGAATCGATACTCCGTAATTAACACCCCTCTCCCTCCCCCCCAAGTAAAAAAAAAAAAAACAAATTCTAGAGATATCCTGCCAAATATTTTACATTATTACGGTGGACCCGGCGACGTGTGCAATATCGCGATCCCGCTCGAGACGTGCTTTAGGGCGGGCTTCTTTGAGCGGCAAAAAGCTCTTATTGGAAGGGGTTCGAAATTAAAAAAATGACCGAGTTGGGCTGCCAATTTCGCATCCCAAGAATTGGAAAACTATGCGTTTAGGGGTTTCTTTTTGTTGGGTCATTTGAATCCACAAAAGAAAGGCCAAAATTCCAATTCTTCTTGGCATCAAACCATTGTCCAGAAATTTACACGGCCACCCGTGGGTCCTTGGAAGAAACATATATGTCTTACTTCTAGGATAAGATACTAATTTACATCGAGTGGAGATTAGTGACTAAACTTTTCGACTTCATGTAAGTATGCGCTCTTTTCAAGTACACATCATGAGTCGTGCTAATCGTGCTACCGGCGCTATCATCTAGAATATAGACGGGGTTCGTCGACCGATTAGAGCGACTCAAATCCTATGCGTCTAATTGGAATTTATCATTTTCTGCTGATTCCGTGGGTTCGGCCCCGAACTGAGTCATGACCATTCCCACCCAGATCCCTTCCAAGATAGACCGCAGTTCTACATAAAAATGATAAGAAAATTGTTTCACGGATCATCTGGATATATACACGATAATTTATGTACTGTTTGTGATGGTTTTTTGGTCCGCGAACCCCCAGCCTTTGAAAAATTCCACCCCTTGCCAGCAACTTCTTCAGTGTGCGAGGGGCGTGGTAAGAGTAGAGAATACGAGTTGGTCGGCGGATATCCCTAGCAGGTAGACTCTGTTCATAATGAATAGATACTGCAGTCATTCAATTTCCAAGGCTTCAACTTCAATCCAATCCCTGACATCTGAGCCCTCAGTGACCTGGCAATAAAGCATGTAGGGGTTAGTATAAACAGGGGTCGCAAGGCTCCAAATAGCCCTCTGGATCTCTATCAGAGACTATCGACTGTAATATATGTATACAAACAGGGGTGTGGTGACTCTTGTCCCGCTAACCCGTATCAAGAAGAGATTCTATCAAAAGTCCAGGTACCTCCCATGCTCCCCAATCCAACACGCTCTCTTTCACAGTTACCTGCTATAGCCCCAACCCCCCTGCTTTGTCACACCTGGATAAGCTTTCAGGGTTTGAGTTGCATAACTTGCCCTGGCATTTGTACCCTGTTATATCCCTACTAATGCAGGAAAGGGCGGGAATACTGAGCTATGCAGCTAGGGTCATACGTGTATAGTTGTTTATGAGAGGCAGTTGTCAATACATTGCGTATGCACTATGCTAGACTGGGTGGTTCCCAACAGAATGCAAACGCAGCCACTCAACTCTTAGCCTCAACAAAATATTATGTCTCAAATGCTTCGTTGTGACCTGGCTATGCTACAACGCATTACTATAAGCACTACCTAGTCTCTTATAGACCCTACAAGGCAGATAGGCTGACGATGATCCGATCCCGAGTCAGTACATCATAACCATCGCTCAAATTTGATTCATCCACAGTTACCCAGTCTATAGTTGACAGGATATTGAATGGCCGATATGCCTATATGTATGTGCCGACTTGCTATAAATAGCCTCATCTCTCGCGTTTTTATATCAGCTTTACCGCGCAACATGGAAAACATGTCTTAGGCATTCCACCTTTCTTTAAACACAATTTGACTTGTCTCAACTGTCACAACCGACAACTATGCGCTGGGGCAGCATTGTTCCAGTCGCACATCTTGTGCTCCTTGGGATAGGCACCAGCAGTGCTATCCCAAATGTCAAAAGAGTCATTATTGGCAGAGTTCCCAAGCAACCTGCCAAAGAAGTTTTCCGTGGAGACTTTAGAAGCCCTGCTGAGGTTGCAATAGATGGCGGATTCCGCCCAAGAGGCGACTATGCAAATGATGACAGGGCATTTTCCATCTACCGCCACATGGGAGGCGAGTTTTGGAGAGAGGATGACTCGGAACTTTCGGATGAAGATTCTGAAGAAGAATGGATATCAGCATTTGTTTCTGTAACAACCGACGTGGGAACGGGAGCATCATATGGCCGCTGGCTGTACAGGATTCATGCCACTCCGAATATGATTGACCCAACAGCCGAGAACGAGAATGAACCCGAGATTTTCGCGCTGGGGGGTGTTCCTTGGTCACAAGTCATGGGATGGTACTACGTAAGATTGGACGGAGACGGCCACGCTTTGAATCCCGACGCCATTACAGCTGCCGACTTTACCCCCAACCCAGCCTACCAGGGGAGGTATGACCAGTTCGCTCTGACAACCGTTGAACCAAGAAGCCGATGGCGTCAGCATGATAGAAGCTACTGGACACAATTCATGAACCGCCCAGACGTTGGGCCTGCTGTGGGCTTTACTGGTCAATTCCCACTACAACTTGGGACATATTCTCTTGAAGGACTCCCTGGGCCTTCTTCAGCAAATGGCGAGACTCAGATTAACCGGCCACCAGCAGCGGCAGCTCAAGCTCCTGCGCTCAATGAGGACGACATAGTCGTAGCTGCCGAGTTCCTGCGAGACCACAATGCGCCGTGTGACGTCTCCGGAGCTGATCCCGAAACCCAATGGCTTACTCTTGAGGCAGACTCGACAATTGCCCGCGCCTTGGCCCGAATGCAACGGGAAGGTCGTCCCAATCAAACTCTCCCTAGCCCTATTGAGGAGGCGGACGAGCAGATTCGGATAATTATTGAAAGGCTTCAACGGGGGCAGGAACCCAGCACATGCCAACTTGTTGGCGAATGCAGCGGACTGAGCTTCTCCCACAAGAAGAGGGCGGCGGGTAAGTACCGCGATATTTCTGTAAAACATAAGACGGAACTTGTACGGCTTGAAAAATGCTAACTCCTCTTCGGGAAAGCACCAGCAGGGCTCTCAAACCTATGTCAAAGAATCCACAGGCCAACAAAAGACGCAAACGGCTTGGACGACGCCACGCAAAACTCTGAGAAATGCGTGCTACGGTCTCCAATCAATGTCAAGGTTCAACTGTCGGACGCTACCTCGGCCGGAAGCTGGGATCGATTGTTTTTGGAAATCGGAAAGAATCCCAAATATGACAAAACCCAGCCACACTACCTGCTCAAGGAGGCACCCGACGCCGGAGATCTGATGTCTGAAGACGTAGACCTCGCAGACGCTTATACAATGAAGGCGGTAACTATTAACGACATTAAAAGAGTTAAACTGGTCAGCCGATTAGACACTGGACGGGTAGCTTCAAACGAGCTCATGCTGCAAGGTTAGTGGTTTTCATTTACTTCATCTGCGGTTACGGCAGTGAAGCCTGAAAGGAAATGTGAAAGATCGCTAATTTTCTTGACGTTCCTAGATATTACAATCACAGCGAAATGCGCCGCTTCACCAAAAGTCGCTGAATTTCACAAAGCAGCCAATGAATGGTTTACAAGCTGGGGCACAGAAATTAAACCCACGGACTGGTCCTGGAAGAAGGACTGTGATAGGTTTAAGAGCCTGAAGTTTAAATGGCACTTGGGCGGTGCTGTCCGTGCCGGGACGTGGGATGATCTTAAACTAGGTGTTAATCGCGATCACAAAGTGACGGCTCATGATATTCAATTTGCTCAAAGCCCTGCGGCTAGGGACAGTGGTGAGATGGAGATTAACCTAAAGGATACATACGGTTCAGCAACTGTGCCCATAGAAAAAGTCGATTACTTCCGCGTCTATTCCACTACAAGATGGCCTGATTCTGGCGAGGATGAGTGGGAACTGGGAGGTATGTCTGTTGACCAGAACTTACAATTAAAACATATTCTAACCCTATCTAGGAATAAGATTCACTGCGCAATGTGAGGGTTACGACAAAGCAGTTATAATGGACAAATTTGGAAGTGATTATAACTGGCACTCTCGTAGCAATGGCAAAGAGATGCCCGTCGCAGCTAGCGACTGGCGGTGGGAGGATGAAAATCTTCAAACGCGACATCCTTTCCCGAGAGAGGAACTGTGATTGGGGTCGTCTCGAGAATAAAGTCAATGGTGCTTTTGCCTGTCTCTGGACACGTTCTATGTCAAAAGTTCCTCGTCCGAGGCAACGGCATGCTTATACCGCTGCCTGGTAGGTGGCAGTATTACAAGTGTCTGAGCTTCGTACCGTTCTGGTCTCTGTATAAAAGATTTAGAGCCGCGATTTTATCTAAACTGTCCCAAGCCATTGCGATGTGTGAAAGAAGCTCTGACTCAAGCTATCCGCTGGAGCCCGTGCCGCCGGAGGACATCTTTCTTCATGTTTGCCGCATATATTAAGACCATACAACATTTGACGCGCTATACGTACAAGACCACATGACGAGCGGGACTTAGATACTGCTGCGCACCAGCGTTGCGTGGAGCTTCGCGCGCCGTTATCAGGGGCGCTCGCAACCGCTTCATCAAGGAGGTTCACCTATTGAAAGAGTCCTCGTATCATCTTGTCAGTGCGCCCGCCACAATCCATGCAGCCGGTAATAATAGCTGACTCGCCGGTTATGTCAACGTCGGCTTTCGCCAGGACAGACTTCCCGGAATTGACCCACCGTATTGGAATGCCGTCAACTAGCCTATCGCGGTTCTCAATAGACCCCTGGTATAGTACATGTAGACCTGGCCTTAAGTACAAGGGGAAGTGCCTTGATGTCACACGACTATCTCCTTAGGCGTCTAGGACCTTGTGGAAACTTGTCACAGGGGTCTTGGTCGATCAGTCAATAACGGACCAATAAACAGTACCTCTAGAAAGAAGCAGGCTATAGGGGTACCTATATTGAGAATGTACGAATTACTACATGGCACTCTCTATTCTGTCCCGCTGGACTAATCGAGTATCTTACACAAGGGATTGGAGACCTAGTTGGAAGCCTTGGACAGTTGTGGCCTCATGCCTCGAGGCTCACAGCTGCTTTGCAGAAATAATATTGGCTCTCTGGTCCCACAACTCTTGAGAAAATACCACGGGGACATTTGACACTAGAGAAAGTTACAAGACCCTGATGTCAACAAGTCAGTTGCCCTAAGGATCAGTTGTTACACGGAAATGGCCCAATGTCAAAGGTTACACAAGGGCTACGGTCACGAGACCTAGGGCAAAGTCCCTCCCCGACTTCTTATAGTTAAAGAGGTGTTTGGTCAACGAGGCCTTGAGGAAAACCAAGAACCTTCAATACCAAAGACTGTTATTATTAGATGAATTGAGCCAAATTGCTCCAAGCCCTCTAACGAGCTCTTGTCACATAAGCAAAGCGGAGAGACATGCTAGAGCCTGTAGTTTATCCCCTCTGGGGGCTTTTCGGGGACCCTGCCAGAGGCCGCTCGCTGAATTCGAGCCCGTTGAAACCGTTGATTCAAGCCTTTTGGAGCCATTTTTATCAGAGGCTGGGAGAAGCCCGTATTCTACATCATGTTAGAGATGCAAAGCGGGAAGTTACACTCAGCTTCGTTGCTTGCCCAACGTGCCGTATTCACTTTACGTCGGCTCGGCCACCAATTTAATCCGCATTGCCTAATTACTTGAATCGAACTTTTGTTTCCAAGCTCCTGTAATGAAACCCTACAAGACATCATCATTTGAGTAGTCAGTCGGACATTCACTAACAGCGCATGAATTATCCGCGTGGGTGCACGACAAACGCCGGGTCACTAATGGAATCTAAGACATTGAATGCCGTAACCACTACGGGGGACCTGCAGCCCCCGTGGGTAGGATGCTAGCCAAGTCTATCAAATATCATGAATGTTCTGCTAAACGGAAGCTTCAGTAACAGTCTTCCCTTCAAGTATTGTTTGAGTATCGCCTTAGATGTTCCATCTACCTATAATCGTAAAAGCTCGTAATCACTTCGAGAAGCCAAACCCCCTTCTTAAGCGATCGGTTCGGGCGCGCCCCAGTATTGGGGAGAAGTCTACCAGACATATGCAGATATGTACCGTGTATCAGCCGGTCTAGGGCGAGAACAAGGCGCCATGGGCGTCAGCGTCCTTTGGGTGGCCAAGAAGACATGGAAGGCAATTACTCACATGAAGGCGTGCACCAAATCTTAGTAAGGCCAGCTTCAGCTACTACCCATTGCCAATCGATCGTCCATTCTCTCAGTGTTCTGAGGCCACCAGTTGCCTTGCGTGGTGTGTTGCATTCGCTTAGCGCTCCTCCCCTCATTCTTGGCATTGGCATCGCGGTGCTTACAAGAAAAGGTTGGACAAGGCTATGCACCCTTGACTGTTCACATGCTAAAACAGGCTTTCAAGACAAGCTTCCGAATAGTCCTTGTGATTTTTCGGTTCAAATACGGCCTCCAGGACCCTCAACACCGACAGAAGTGTGGAACAGAATGCCACCAGGGACGATGCGGGTATCACAGAAGTGCTACACTGGCATGGTAGTCCTGAACATGGTCGCAAACATACGTGTTGTGTGAAAAGGCTGGCAAATACAGCGTCGTCTGAGCTTGATCTTTGACCGCATTCATTGATTCAATGTGACGGTGTCACCTCGTAGAACTAGATGCTCAAAGCGACACATATGGATTGTTTCTGTTCTTCGTTGAGCGGGAAATATTTATAAAGTAGAAAAAGTAGACAAACTATGATACATGGTTATATTCAAAACCCTAAAGTGCCACGCAGTCAGACCCTGCGAAACCCAATTACATGATGAATACTTGCACTCATATCTGTTCCTCCTTAGCTAACGTTGGCAGACTCAGCCACGATAGAGAATTGCCCCCCCGCTCCGGCCCAGATTAACTTGTCCTTGATTCTTCTATCCGTAATGCGCTGAAAAACTTTGACGTCGTCATTAGAGTTGAGACCAAGCTGACCTTGGAAGCCGTAGCCCGTTGAGTAAGCATTGCCAGGCTGATCGATCAAGATAGTATGATCCGAGCCGCATGCAACATGTGTGACTTGTTGATGCTGAGTAGTTGGGATAATGGTAGGGCGTAAGCAAATGCATGGCTTATCACGTTCATCGAAACGAATGAGCGTTGAATCCCGCAATTGCTCAGGAGCAAAGTCTATGCCAAGTTGTCCCTCAATGATTCGACCCCATACAAAGCATTCGCCATTAGCGGTAACCGCAGCTGAGTGATGAGCACCGCCGTCTAAAGCCAAGACTTTCTTCTGGCAAAGACTATTAATCTTGGTTGGTGTGATAAATGCTCCTCTGTTACCCGCAGTCTTAGCATCTCCAGCTTCACCAAAACTGTTTGCACCCCAGGCCCAGACGTTGTCATTCTTGTCGATTGCAAAGGAGTGATAACTTCCAGAAGCCACATACTTGGCTTTATTGCGGCAGACTCGAACTTGATTAGGGGTAAAGGAGTTGGAGGCACGCCCAATAAGGCGACGGCCAAATATGGCATTGCTCGTTACAGCCCCGGGCCCAAATATTGCCTCTTATATCAAGAGCCAAGGCATGGTCAACGCCACAGCAAATCTGCCTAATATCTTGAAGATTTTGGATTTGGACAGGTGTTGCCTGGTTCTTCACCAGCTCTCCACGTTCGTCATATCTGAAGCCTTTCTCGCCCCGAGAGTCCTAGTAATCATTAGAATAAGATAGGTTAGTAGTGAAATATATACTTACACGAAATGTGCCCCACCCATAGACGTGACCAGTATCAGTAAGCGCAAAGCTACAACTATCACCAGCTGCGACCTGAACAAATCGTACACTTGAAGGGAAATAGTCAGAGGGGATTTGCGTAGGAGTTGACTCAAGCGGATTCATGTCTCCGTTGTCGTCGTCGTCTGAGGCTGTGTCTATATCTCGCAGCTTGCCGTCCCACTGCGTATCCCTTCCAAGGGCGTTCTCATCGTTCACGCCCCAGGTAATGATCTTATTGTCCGACGTCAACGCAACGGTATGCATACCGCCGCAGGCGACTTGGACAATATCAAAGGCAGATAAGTGTGGGTTGCGGGTAGGACGCGTGGCTTCGTTGTTCTTGGGTCCAAGGCCAAGCTCGCCGTTTTCACCACCACCAAAGATAAGGAGTGTAAGCTTCACGGTAGGGACGTTGTTTATGGTAGCCAATTTGCTCGGCTTCTTGGACCTGACCGAGCCGGTTTTCACCCGTTTTGGGATATCAGGAGTGGCGGTGGATACCTGATGGTCGTTGATCATCTCCAAGGAGCGTTTCCGCCCGGCGGCCGTAGACCTCACGTTGCTTGGCTTAGCATTGAGTGCCGATATGTTTTGAGTGGTTCTCCCGGTCCGCGGCACCATGTCCATCCGCTTCGATCTTTGCTCTCGATCCCTGATTTTGCGTTCGCTTAGAGCTGATACAGAAGGCATTTTAATGAGTGTTGCTTTTTATGCTTTTGCTTTGCCTAAGTGACAGATATTGCGCTCTACTGTTCGAGGACAAGGAGATGAAGTGAGGCGAGCCTAGTTTCGAGAGAAAGATATACCCAGGCCTCAAGACAAAGACGCGAGACGCAGCTAGACGCGGACGGACAACGCGTCACCGCCCGGCAGAAAATCATAATACCAAAGCGATAATATTGGGTCGTGGTATAGAATGCTTTAGTACTCCGCGAACAATAAATGCCAAAAAAAAGAGAACAAGAATGCCACTTTCTCACTCTCCCCGCTACCTGGGGGGAGAAATTAGAAAAAAATATTGACCGAGACAGGGGTCGAACCTGCGACCTTCTGATTACGTGTGCTAAGAATACTTTAAGAATACTGCATCGTAGTCAGACGCTCTGCCATTGAGCTACACGGCCTTGGTTGGGGAATATTAGTCTATTCTAAAATAAGAAGGGTATGTAGTGGGGCCCCCACTGCCGACATCGACGTCCTGATCGATTTCAATGTTTCTCATGACCCATGATGCGTTGAGCAATAGATACCCCTACCCATAGTGACATTTCTTTCAGTTGTGCACATCTGGTCTCACCTGCCCCGTGTCATCTAGCATCTCCTCTCGACTTCCAACCTTGCTCTTCCTCACCATGGCCGAACATAATAAATCTGTGACCCAGACAGGTGCCTATGATCAATTATAGTATAAGGAGCGTCCAGCTGATACATGTCGCGATAATTTGCTTTATTTTGTATTAGGTATGTGGACAACTTTCATGCAGTATGGAATGTGAAAGGTAGCGTTGATCGTCTGCCTAGAAAGCTGACGGCCGGCTAATATTTGAGTCTCCTTTTGCCAAGGAAAAAAAAAAAACAGAAGAAAAAAAAAATGTCAGCCAATATTTGCTTTTCACCTATCGCCGGTCTGCGCCAAGGAGGAAGAACGGATGGCAACAAGCATGCGACCTGTGCCGACGCAGAAAAGTAGCCTGTGACCACCGCCTGCCTATTTGTTCTAGGTGCAAGGGTGGGAAAATACAAGATAAATGCGTTAATATCCTATGAGAGCGTCCAGAGACGGCTCTTGTGTCGCCAAGCACAACTAGCCCCAAGTCTCCGGTTTGTGCTGACCCCAGATCCCACAGTCGACACACCTCGTACCGATGGAAGCACGAGTTTCCTAAGTGCCCTAAGCTTTCCGGCTTTCTATCAAGAGTTCCCGAGTCCTCCTTTGGGTTCAAAATCTCAATAATTGCTACACCAGTCACCCGACATTGCGTGCGGGCCAATCAATCACCAAGTGTGCTCAGGGACCTGGCAACTCGGAGTCTACTGCACATGACGGCCGGTGTCGCCTCGTTGGAGAACGGTTACGCGCATCACTTTGGCCAGTGTCCCCAAAGAAGACGAAGCAGATCCCGATAAATGGATGGCGTCGTTCTATGGAGCCGCGATGCGATGGGAGTCATTGGGCTATTTGTTCGTTTACTGGTCATATGGGGCAAGGGGGATAAAAGACAAGCAAGTGTGAAGATCTGTAGGAACTGGCGCATTTGAGCTGATGGAGAGATTATAAGACTTGTGCTTCATGGTGTATGGAGCCGAGCCGAGTTGCTGTTCGTAGCTATACATTGCTGTTTGGACTATTTTACAAACGCTGCTTGCTCGAACCGCAAGTTTTAGAAGAATCTAGTTAGTTGGTATGGAAATCACGGTGGCTCACGTGGGTCTGGAGATTTGGAGGGCACACGGTGACACTATTTCGCTGGCAACATTCATGGGCCTTCATGCCTCGCCAAACACGGCTTTTTGTGACCGCTCCATATCGGTACCAATGCATCGCAGGCTTTTTGCTGCGATAGTTGGTCATGACAAAACAGCCGCGACGTTGACTGGACGACCGCCATTTCTCAGAGTAGATTCGTGTCAATATCTCTGCCGCTCAACGTTGCGGACGAAGATCTGCTGAAATGCAACAAGGATGATGACCCAACCTCTGCGTTGGACTGGTGGCATGAATATAGGACTTCACAATACCGCCAGAATGTCAGCAATAGAAAATGAGCTCCTCGAGATAGAACAGCAGCTCCAAAGCTCTGGGCTGCCATCAAAGCTCCACGACATTTCGGTTGATCATTGCGTGCTGTAGCTCTGTTTACTATCCGGCTTGATCCGTTGTCAGCGCGAATCAGCACGTAAATGCATGGCTCGGTTATGTAGAAATAAAGAAGACATGACTAAAGCATACGCGCCAGGGAGGGTAAATATTGTGTAGAGGATTTTTCCACAGACTAAATGCCGGTTGACGCATTGGCCAAGCAGCTCCTTTCAGGCTTAAGCGGTTGCATGTTCAACATGAAGGGGCTAGATAGCATTGCGTTACCGAAGATTACCCAATTTCAAAGTCTTGTTTCTTGCCCCGTGCGAATTATGACTCCGCCATTTCTCTCCAGCATGTTTGAGTCACACACTAACACACACGCACGCGCTTCAGTTTGCGTCGACAAACCGCTGGTGATCTCGTCAGCGCAACTAAGACTGATGCGACTGCTTCTCACACGAGAGGCCGCTACAACATCAAGCTAGAAGCCACGGAGAACGGCGTAGTGACTAGAATTCCGCCAGAGCCATCGTAAGGATCTTCCTTTTTTTTAAGACTGTTTCGTAACTTGCATTTTCTAATCGTGTTTAGTGGGTACACATTGGGCATGCCAAAGCCGTCTTTTTGAACAACTACTTTGCGCACAATGCTTTTTCTGGATGCCTTATTTTACGTTTTGATGATACCAATCCCACAAGAGAGAACCAGGAATTCGAGGACTCTATTCTTCACGACCTAGGTCTACTAGGCATCAAAACACAGCGAGTGACATACACTAGTGATTACTTTGAGAAGCTTTACGACTTATGCTGTCAACTTATTTCTGATGGAAACAATTATGCTGAGGATGCAGACATCAAAATACAAAAAGACAACCGTCGTGATCGCCTCCCCAGTAAGCGACGGGATCGTCCCGCGAGCGAGAGTCTCGCCATCTTCAAAGAGATGAGGGAGGGAACGGAGTTTGGCAAAAGACACTATATCCGAGCACGTATCGCCTTTAACAGTTCCAACGCTTCAATGCGTGACCCAGTCATCTACCGCTTTCCCAGCTGGGACCTCGAGGAAGGGCCACAGCCGCATCACAGAACCGGCTGGTCTTGGAACATTTATCCCACATATGACTTTGCCTGTCCTCTGGTTGACTCTATCGAGGGCGTGGGTCACGCCCTCCGCACGACCGAGTCGATGACCGTAACGAGCAGTACCACTGGTTTTGAAGTGCTCTCAAGTTACGGCAGGTTTACCTCTGGGACTTTGCCAGATTCAAGACATTCTATCTAAAAGAAAGCTGGCAAAAGTCGTTGACTCTGGGAGGGTGGATGGCTGGGATGATCCTCGAATGCCCACTATCCGGGGCATCCTCCGTCGCGGTCTTACTTTAGAAGCGCTACGCGAGTTTATGCTAAAGCAGGGCCCGAGCCGAAACGTTGTTTCCATGGACTTGACCACCCTTTTGGCGATGAACAAGAAGATTATTGATCCAATCGCACCAAGACACACTGCTGTGGAATCTGTGGGTTCCGTCTTAGCTGCTGTGGTAGGAGGCCCGGGTCATCCCAAGCAAGTCTCGACCGAAACACCCTAAGAATCCTAGTCTAGGAACGAAGGATGTAACATTTGCAAACCAAATTTACATCGAGCAGGCAGATGCGGCGTCATTCCAAGAGGGTGAGGAGATTACACTTATGAGCTGGGGTAATGCTATTGTTCGACAAGTCACAAGGTCCGATGACCAGACTGTGACCGGGTTACAAATTGAGCTCCATCTCGATGGTGACGCGAGAAAAACCGACAAGAAAGTGCACTGGCTAGCTGCTCATGGTACCAAAATCGCTGGTGCGGAGCTTTGGGAGTTTGACCATCTCTTAACTAAAGATAGTCTTGTAAAGTGTGATGAGCTGGAGCGCTATCTAAACCCCGTCACGTCCCGGTCGACAGATGCGTTGGTAGGTTCTGAGTTTAGTGGGCTCCTGGAAGGGGATATTATTCCGATTGAGTGGAAAGGGTACTTTCGCATGGATAAGCCCATTGGTCAAGGACCTAGTGGCAAGGCGGTATTGTTTAAGATTCCAACAGGCAATAGCAAGGGATAAGGTGTGTGCCCTATCTCAGGCCATCTCTCAACTCTTACTTGCAAATACCTGCACTGCTATTAGAACGGTTCATGTATTGATTTGAGTTAACACAGAAGTGTCTGAGGCTTGTGGTCATGTCATTTCTATGCTACTAGGCGAAGTATATGTTCAGACCGGAATAGGTGGTGGGTGTTGCGACCCAGCCACAGGCTGCAGTGTAGGAATCAACAAGAAAATAATAAAATGATATAAGAAATTAGGTAATAATCTCTTATTATAATAGCACTTATTAAAGTCCCGGGTCCAAGTCACGGTTGCTCCCCTTTTTTTTTAACCGGCCTTTTAAAATCCGGTCCGCCTGGCTTGGCAGATTCGCTTACACCCATGACAAGGCACGGGCTTGATAAATAAGAGAGATAGAGACCGTGCACTACCTCCGCTTTTCCCCATAACACTTGCGTTGTTATCGGAGCCAGTGAGTTATTTTACACATGTAGTTAACATTGAAGTTTTCTAGCCCGCCGTGAAGCGCGTCTATACGTACTTCACAAAATTTCCAAACCACATAAACGAAACACGGCTCAGCCTGAGTAAACTCTAAACATGTCCAACAGTATCGCTGCCCATTCCAAGGATCTGCCGCCAGTCCCCATCAATCGTACGCTGATTGTTCGGACGGCCGTTCAGTCGACTGTGCAGGAGCGAGAGGAAATCCTGAAGCAAATCGAGTACAATGTGTTCGCATTCCCCGCAGAAATGGTGTATTGCGACTTCCTCTCCGACTCGGGCACCTCTGCCATGACGGATGTTCAGTGGGCTGCCTTGCTGCGTGGTGACGAAGCCTACGGACGCAACGCCGGGTACTATTGTCTGCTGGACGCCTTTCGGGATATTTTCGAGAGGGGAGATGATCGTAGGTATCTGTTTCGTGATGTCATGGCCGGAACGATCGACGGTCAACTATATTGCAACACACTGCTGCGACCGAGCCAAGGTGGCTTTGTCAATGGAGGACATGTTCAGGTCGCCCGCCCAAATTTCTACATTGTGCCGCAAGGCCGTTGCGCCGAGGCGATTCTATTCTCAGAGCTGATGAATTCTTTTTCGTCCAAGAATGTCTCGGCTTCGCCCGTTATTATCAGCAACGGCTTCTTTGATACGACCGGGGCCAATGCTGCTGCCGCTGGCTTCGAGCTGGCAACCTTTCTTCAGTCCGGTCTCCACGAGCATTTTCATCCCAATGAGGTGCCCGGCCATAATCCATTCAAAGGCAATCTCGACGTGCCGGCGACTCGCAAATTTTTAGTCGATAACCACCACCGAACAGCGCTCATACTCATTACCATCACCAACAATTTTGCCGCGGCGCAGCCTGTGTCCATGGCCAACATCAAGGCCGCAGCATCACTAGCTAAGGACTTTCATATTCCATGCTTTTTCGATGCTTGCCGCTTTGCTGAGAACGCTAGGTTCATACAAGAGTTCGAGCCTGGGTATGCCGCCCGTTCGATCGCCGAAATAGTCAAAGAGATGTTCAGTCTCGCAGACGGTTTCACTATAAGTCTTAAAAAGGACGCCATGTCGAATATGGGCGGTGCCCTTGCTATTCGCGACAATGGCTGCCTGATGAGGAATTTTGAAGACATCGGTGTTCGGCTCAGAGAACGGCAAATTCTAGAGTATGGGAACGAATTTTACGGCGGGATGAGCGGCCGTGACATGATGGCTGCAGCTGCAGGCCTGTACGAGGCTACCAAGGAGTCTTTTTTGAGGAGCCGCATCGGACAGGTAAGATCTTTTGCGCAGAAACTTCACTCCGCCGGAGTACCGATACTGTGGCCGCCAGGAGGGCATGCCGTATATCTGGATATGAGTGCATTCTTCGCCAATTGCTCGCGGTCGCCGGGTGACTTTGCCTCTGTGGGATTCACAATCGAGCTTTTACTCCGGTATGGCATTCGAGCCGCCGAGGATGGACCATTTACTTGGGAATGGGACAAGAAGCAGTCTGAAGAGGAGCGAGACGCCATTTCTGACCTGGTCCGCTTTGCCGTTCCCCGGAACTCGATGAATGACGGTCATATTGACTACACCGTGGCGGCCGTTTCTAAGCTATATCAACAGCGCCATCTCCTTCCCAACGTGAGAATTGTGAGGGGAAAACACCTTCGTATCCGTCACTTCCAGTGCGGATTTGCTCTCGTCCCTGCAAGTAGGAGCAATGGGAGCCAGTCTCCAACGAATAAAACTTTTTTGTCGACGTCAGAGGCTCAAATAAGATTACTTGGTCGTTCTCTCTCGTTCAATGACGCTTCCGTCGAAGTCTTGGTCCGAGAAATGCAACTCGCAATGGGCGGCTGGGGAGCCAGAGTCGTCAGCAAAACTACCGGCGGGCACCTCTCCAATGTTGGACTGGACCATTCCCCCATCGAATATTCAATCTCCTTTGATTTTCATACCGGAACGCCCCAGCTTCGATTCTTGATCGAAGCGCAGCCGCCAGAAGACGTGGCCGAAGTGAAGCTAGCAGATTTCCAATTGGCCACTTTGGAATTCAACCGTACTTTGAGCCAGCGACAGGATGACGCACTTTCATTCGAACGGTTCGAAAAGATAAGAAGCTTGTTCTTCCCAGAGATCGATGATGCGCAAAACGTTTCTGGCTTCGCGGCTTGGCACAGTGCCTGTATTTCGCCTGACAGTAAACGCGCGGACTGGAAAATTTACCTCAATCCAGATGCTCTGGGAACATCACAACGCGAATTAGTCGTCCGAGAATCATTTGAGCGTCTGGGATTTGCGCACGCTTTTGAGCAACTCAAGCTGGCAATGGAGCCTACGGATCGGTTCTGCTATTTCTCCCTGGATCTCCAGAAAGGACGCGACGCTCGCATCAAGATATACATCCAGCACCCGAATGCTACGGCTCAAAGTCTTGCCGACATGGCTCAAAAGGTTTGCTTGTACTTGACAGCAGATGATCGAGATGACATCGTTGCCTTTGTCCGCACCATGAGCGGCAACACAACGGGTCCCTTCCAGCGCAAGCCCATGCTGACTTGCTTCGCCTTCACGACAGATCGCGTAGAACCATCGGTCACTGTTCATTTCCCCGTGTCCGAATATGCGAGGAACGATGCTCAGATACACCGCAGAGTTGTCGAGTACTGTTTAAAAAAGGCTCCAATGGTGCTGCCGCATTATGTGCGATCTACCGAAGCCCTGAGGCAGCGTTCGCTGTCCGATGGGCGTGGTCTGCACAGCTGGGTGTCGTTGAAACAAAGTCCGAATGGCAGCCATGGGCTGACTTTCTACCTATCGGCTGAGCTGTTCGGACCCTTGCCAAACTTGGAGCAGTAACTTCTTGGAAGATTCGACGAACATATAAAAAACATGTTAATAAATGAGTCACTCTGAAAAGTTCATTAGCTGATTTCGTGGACGAAGCACCAACTTATCATGTGTTATACGAAACACCGACATATATATCTGAATACGATCTCCATCTGTAGGAGGTCCTCCACTTTTGGCAGTCTTCGTTCAACCAGGCATCATATAAGCGCTATAGCTACCACACACTAAAACGGCCTTACTCTTCTACCGCAAGTGTCTTTAGGGTAGCTTGTCATAATGTCTCCTAATTAAATACCGTAAGCCTTGGACGGAATTTCTCTGCCAATACCATCTGAATCCATCATGTACCTGTGCAGTATCCTTCCGTACATTCATCGAGTAGACGTCACCGATTTCTTCAAGGAACAGAGCTCGCTACTTCCGCAAGGAACTAGAACTTGCACAAGCCTGCAATCCTTTTTATAGCAGCGATGGGGAAGGACTCCTGCGGCCCTAGATGACACCGCTCTCGAGACTGGGCAACAATGGGACTGCGCTTATATACAGCGCAAAAAGTTCATCGCATCTGGCTGCTCGACCAGGCACTTGTGTCTTTTGATATCTATATACTCGATGGACGTGTAGTATTCGAGTACGACGGCGAGGGGGAGGAGATGGAACCTGAATCGAAGCCGTATGTGGGTTATTTGGACGTTGATGAAACCGCCAATGAAGCATTATCTGCAGACGAAACTGTTCTGTGTCAGAATTTGAGGAACAATGTCCAGTTCGATCATGACGATGACTTTTCACCGTCTGACGGCGACGGCGATGTCACAGATGACGACATGTCCTCGGCCACGTCAGCAGACATCATGACATGGTTTCGCAAACTCAAAGATACCCCAGGCTCATACGGTCAGTGGGTGCCTGAATATTGGCACCCAGATATTGCTCGTCCGCTACTCATCAAGCATCGTTGGCCAAATATTTCTGACGGAGATGTCTTCCAACTCGACCAACCTCGGCTCGAGGCCATATTCGACGCTCGAAACGCAGTCTCCAGGCAGCGCATTGAACAGTCCAAATGGAACATGACCGAAAGACATCGCGACCAAAAGATACTCCAGGCGAGGTTGAACGCCGCGACGACGCAAGATTACAAGTGGCATGCTCGGTTCCAACTTCTTATATATGAACAGTCTAAGGAGAGTGTAAAGAGTGTAACGCAGAATGTGAAAGAGGCAGAGGATAGGTGCAAGCGAGAAGTTTTAGAGCACAGGCGCCAGGGTCCAATCGAGGGCGACTGGCCGTTGTGGGAGCTGAAGAAGATGCGTGAGCTTCTCGAATACGAACGTAGCAAGATTGAGAGGCTCCGAGAAATGATAAAGAATCGTAAGAACAATGCAAAGGATGATTGCGGACCTGCAACCGGTGGCTTGGAGAAAGAATTGGCCCATGCGCAGAGGAATCTGGGCATCTACGAAAGCCCTGTGGTGGTGTCGCAATTGAACGCGGAGCGACTTTGTCCGGGCAGAACAGTAGACGAGCTCTCTGATCCGAGTTCCACTGCTAAAGCAGACCAGCTTTCTTTTGAATACGAACCAAGGCTGAAGCCAGCATTGGGACAGCTTGTTACTCTGGAAAAGTGGGCGGTTGAGCTTCCTGCCGAGGCGAGGAGAACGAAGCAGAAGGCAAGGCATGAGTTGAAGCGGTTGAGGAAGAAGATTGAGGGACTACGGCAGTGCCAGCAGACCTGAATACGTGTATGAGTCCATGTCGTTTCCAATTTTTCATAACTGGTGAGATATACATACGATGAGGGAGATATGCCAGAGTCCCGAGATCTAATTACACTGTCATCGTCTACAGATTCTGTTCCCAAGTTTAAGCCCCCTTGCGCAAACTCACTGTGTGATAACTACTGCTTCGCCTCGTCAGTCTGGTCCTTCCAATTCATTGCCATCGCCTCCGCCAGCATGGCCTTGATCAGCTTTTCGTCGTTGGCCAAGTCTTTACATCTTGAGGCGCTAGTGTTGGAGGACTACGGTCAATTCAATGTTGTTTGTGGATAATGGCCTTAACCCTATGCTATCCATAAATGTAGCATGTTTGAATAAGAATTGGAATGATTCATTGAAGCGAGGCACGATTGACTTGACAAAAGCATAAGCCTTTGGGCTAAGAATTATATCATGAGTCCGCTCTTTGAACGTGAACTTACATTGTATCTATACACAATCTACCCTATTGATTGATATCTAAAATGAATCCTTCCTGCTGGAGGTTCTCGATGCGGCCTAGAAGAAATTCAAGCTGCCTATAAGCAGCACCTGGGGTGTACTGTGGCATTGCTGGAGGAGGAGCGTCAGATAAGGGTTTTAAACTTTTAAACAGACGCAGTTGGAAATGAGAGCACATACCATGGCCAGCTGCGTCGATCGATACATAGGTAAGTCACGTTCTGTGTGAGCATTCCCTTCGACACGAACATCAGTATCGATAGCCGACTCTTTTCTGTAACCCATTTCTCGCCTTTGATGCTTGTATGGCACGACTAATGGTTCAGTGAGCGCTTTTTGGAACCCTTGGTCTCCGTCGCGGGTCATGTTCTGGATGGTGGCCAAGGTCCCGTTGGCCAAAAGCAGAGAGTCCTGCAAGCCATGGGCAATAATAGTGTTATTGGTAAGCTCAATCACACTCGGCGACGGACCCAACCCGCTGGGCTGCGGTGCAAGCCCGTCGGGGCCGGGAAATCCATTCCACGCAAAGCCACCGTGAGCTTTATAGCCGGCTTTCGGCGGTACCTGGAGCCCCCTTTTCACGTCCTCCCTATTGAAATAGCTGCTGGGGACGTCGTCCATGATACTCCCTGGACGGGGGCAGCTATCAGTCAAGTGGTAAGGGTTGAAGCACGGGTTGACTTTAAATGCCGCTGTCAAAATGTCGCCCCAGATACTGCACCCAGGCTGATCCTTGTCGGGTGTCGCAAATACCTTTTTCGACGGAGCATATATCAGGACCTATGACAGCAACTTGTTGTAGCCGCATTGTTCGGACCTCTTAATGATGTCGGAAATGAATGTGTGGTTGAGGCCCATGACGTGGTTGAATGCTTGACCGCTGCCACAGCCGGAGCTACCCATCCACCAGATCAGGTTATACTTTGAAGTGCCACACGCATATACAAATTTGATGGCCTGGGAAGGTGTGCCTCATGTGGAGATAGACAGTAGTGTTAGTTTAGGCGGCCTACCTTGCTGTATCACCGTGAATGAGTTGATTTCGCCGTCAACAATCTGCACACCCTTCACGCTGGGGTAGGTATTGTCCTTCTCGTCAAGCATCCGTGACGCAATGTAAGGGATCATGTGGCCTGCGTAGCTTTCACCTGTGTCGTACACTTTTCGAGGTTCAAGCTTAAATGTAGTCGCGAAGTTCTCCAACCACGAGGTGAATTGCTCTGCAATATCAATGACGTTTCCGACCGTCTCTGAGTCCGGTAAATACCCATCTCCCGTCGGCTGGTCGATGTAGACTAAATTAGTCAAGTTGGTCCATGCGTATGGATTCGGAATCGGCTTGTCGGTTCCGGGTTGTCAGAGGAAAAGGCCAGCTGCAAGAAGCATGCCGTATAACGAGCTGTCTCCCGGCCCGCCGTTCAGCAATATTGTAATCGGTTACATGTGTAAGCCAAGTTCTGTCCAAGTACGAAAGAATTAGGTCGGAGATTTGTCCTCCCAGTGCCTTGGCAGCTCAATGAAATCTCTCTCCATATTCTTACTCACTCTAAACAAAGAAAAGTAGTGTAGGGCAGACTAAAGTAGTACCTCATCAGAAGCTTTTGGATTCTTGGACGGAAAAAACCAGAAGAACAAACTCGAGTTAGATAATCGAGAGGAGGAAAGGTAAGAGTTTCATGGCTAGATGAGACACGCGTGCAACGTGAGAACAGGAGAAGCCATGGAAAGCGACATAACCCGCTATAGACTGTCTCCAGATAGACCAGTACCGCACTTTGTATGTAAAATAAATATAAACATCACCAAGCTCCTGGTTGAGGCTTGTTCAGACCCATCATTCCTCCACAAGGCGACGCAAATACCAGCGATAGATGGCTGTGCCACGGCTAGTCATGTCAATCAGTAGGCAATACAACGTTCAAAAAGGGGTGCATGTTAGTGATTATTATTCTGGGCTAGTAATTAATTGCTACGGCCCTGGATGACGGAGAGTAATCCACCGTAACCGTATACGATGCCTCAACACGAGTTGCCAGGGTACTAGCTAGAAAGGGTCTTAAAGAAAAGAAAAGAGCACACAAAAGGAAAGAACCTTCTCTTTGAATCCTTAAAGTAATCGCTCAACAGCATGTCTTCAATGACGGCATCGCGCATCCCCAATTGGGCTCACTATCGCTAGGGCGGCCAAACATTGCTGGCATCGGTGAGGGTGGAGACAAAGCCCTTCTAATTATATGGAAGTATTATGCGGGATTTTTACTGACTCTTTCCTAGAATTTAGCCAAATATGCAAAAAAATCGACCAAGGCGTCACTACAAGCATCACCACAAGCGGTACTACGAGGTCTCACCGCAAGTATTGTAACAAGGATCGGCTCAATAAAGGATGACTCACTAAGGGCTATCTATATATGACATGATATTTCACGAAATATATGGTGTAGCCATCTGCCTTCAATGTTCTAGTTCCAACGAACGGATCGATCATATCCCAGGGCAATGGAGCTACCACTACAGTATATCAAGGGTCTATGATGGCGGTTCAGGTTGGAAAAAGATATGCCAGGCATGCAAAGCCATGAGACAATAGAATGTACTAAGAAGGGACAGCAGTATATATTTGACTAATCAAATGTTAAACAGCAAGGAATTGAGCAATTGGTGCCAATGTGACAAGGGCTCGTTAGAGGGCTTGAAGCAAAGGGCTCAATTCAATGATAATCTTGTAGGATGTCAAAGGTCCTTGGTTCCTCCAAGCCAGAAGGCGAGGGGAGACCATCTTATATACATGAAAGGAACGGCCCGTGCCTAGTGTGCCCCATAGTTCTCGTGATCTCCTTGTGTAATAAAGGGCTTCTAATCCTTGCTTGACCTAGTCCGTGTGACAGCCAATAGGAAATGAAAATCACGTAAAAGGAGCGCACACCGCGGATTATCGCCGTTCAGAACCGAATCAAACAAGGCAATAAAGAACAGGGTAAGCTATATAACAATAGCCGTAAGGCCTAAATACACCACGTGACACTAGTATGATAAGGCTGATTATAGCAATGTCTCGATGCGTGATGCATGGTACCAACAAGGGGCTCCATCGGCTCATTTCTACGAAACGCTTTGCTAACGGGTCCGCGACAAATTATACCCATGGGTTGCATGGATCCCCTTGCTTTATCTCTCAGTACACGCGGAAAAATATCTTTCAACAATGACATGATCAGTTGACGCCAAAATATCCGCGACTTAGTTTTCAAACCTCGTCTTCATTTGCTTGGCGGCCGTCCTTAACGGCCCGGTTGGGGTAGGCAAGGGCAAAAGACGAAACACCATCTAGTGCCTGGGCCTGTGTGGAAGCAGAGAGGGTAGTACTGGTAAGATTTTATTTTGAACCTTGAATGCAAGGTGACTAGCTTTGATATAGAAAAGGTTCAGAACCAACGTTGGGTAATCGGTGGAGAATAGACCCAGAGAAACACGAGGGACACAAAGAACGTTTTATAGCTTCAGCAGAAATAAGTATGTCTCACGGTATATGACAGAAATATACCAAGAACTTGGTTTTAGAGCGATCGCCATGTCTTCTGGTGTTCAGGAAGTCGTCAAAGGGGCCTCTTCTGAATTATTGACGGCGATGGCCCTCCCCTGTTTCGTATTACCGGGCAGCTCGCAGGCTAAAGCAGTTTGCTGACGAGTCATCAGTCCGAAATAATGCTAATTTTGGCGATAATTCGTTACAAAAAATAAGTTTTGACTTGCGGACCGCTGAGTGATGATCTTTCTTCGCCTTGCACATAAGACATCCTGAGACGTACCAAGGATCTATACCATGATGTTGGAACAGATACTAGAAAAAGTCGTAGGAGATTATACACACACACTCTCTCGGTATAATTGCTATTGTAGGAGGTACGAAACACCTGTTAGAATCAAAAGGGCACTCTTATAAGTTGGATATCGAGGTTAGGCTTAAGGGCCGCTATTTCTGGATCTTTTCGCTATATGACTCAAGGATCAAAAGCAATAACTGTCATGATAAACCAAATAATAAGTAGCACTATTTATCACTTCTTACTATCTAGATATCAAAAGAGAATAAAGACATATAGCTCAGAGAGTTTGGGACCTTGGTCCCTGCGCTGCGCCTCCTCAATTACCTACCTGTGAGATCTTAGTTGACGTGTCCAAGACTCCGGCTACAGAGAATCATACGTTTATTGATTCCCTTTATGCAACTTTTAGCGAATTTAGTGGTGCTGCAATGTGAGTTGGCGTTAAGCCTCTATTACAAGCGGATAGCTTTTAAGGGGTTTTCCACATTAACGTAGACGCAGTTTCAAAGCCTTTGCCATCGGATTGTACCGAGATCAAGTATATACCTGCCTTGTTCAACGGAGTTAAGCAACTTAAATGAACCAAGACCAGTCAAGGACCGGCTCTAAACGGACGACTTGATACACTGCAACTGGCCATGGCATTTGTAGATGTCTCATGGAAAGCAACCACTGAAGACGCGGTGATAAGCGCTTTAAACAAAGTGGTAGACTATTACCAAAATCCAGTCACCTACACTTGGTCCGTCCCACGACATGCCGAGGACTTGTGAAATTGTTATCGCAGCATGTACAGCCAGCGCGTTAGCTTCATGGCCTAATCGAATAAATGGAGAGGATGAAAATGCTCGTTTCATTTGGGAGCTGTGGAGTTTACGAGCAACAAAATCTCCGTGTCCCCTTCTCGCTAGACAATTTAAGCCAGCTTTGATTGGAGTTCAAGAAAAAAGGGGTAGCGAACTAGTACGTTTACCAAAAGACAACGATTCTGGGCTTCTCTGATTTCTAAGGACGATGAGTATCCGATAATACCCGTTTAAAGAGACAGGACAGGAGGTCTCATGTTCTAATACGTTCGCTCAAGTCCTCCACCGCTTCTGATAGTAGTGTGTCAAGGACCTACGCCTGCGTCACGGTGAAATGGGCCTAGCACATTATTGTTCTTCGCGTAGAAATACGTTGGGTCACATCCTGCATCAATATAGGTCGCAAAACAGGGATTAATTGATCCTATTGCGGCACTTGGAGCCGGCAATATCGATCAGGCAATAGTGCTGCGGAGGCTTCCGCCTCTTCAGGTGTTGACGAGATTGCCACAGAGAGGAAAAAAAAAGTCCTCGTTAGTGAAGCGGCATGAATCATACCCTCGAACAAACACGAATAAGCAGGTAGTCTCCTGCACAGCCGTGCGCTTTGATGCATCTGTTGGGAACGTAGTCGCCAGTGGGTGTGTTTAGCTGTCGGGTTTCTTGAGCGGGCCGTTTTGGCCTCGTGATTATTCTTCGTCTGCATATTGATACCATTAGTCTAGATCTTGATTCATGGATGGGTCGCTAGTATCTTTGATGATGAGTACTACATCGCTACTGTCGGAGAACGGAAGTGGAAACACGGCAGATCTTGTCTCGGTACATATAGTTGTAATGTTTTGCTACGTGTCACTGTCGGAATATTGTCACTCAAGTTGCTTGTGCACTATGTCCTCATTGCATAGCTGCATGCAACCCAACATTCGCCATCCGTGCTAACATGTCGTATCCGGGGTTCATCCCAGCTTCCTATTGCAGTTCCAGAGATTTACCGGTCACAGGCGCATTCTACCCACTTGATGTGGGTTACTACTGACCATGTTCCGGGATAATCGAAGTGGCATGATCAAGCTTCTACACGGTGCCTGAGGTCATGCCGGATGGACTTTTCCCGCAACCTTGACTTGATCAAGCCATCCGCAACAGGCCCGGCCCGGAAGGTCGCGATCTCGGCCCCCGTAAATATTTAATAATGACAACGTGTGATTCGTCGAACCGATGACGCGATGTACCCCAAGATTGGGGTCCAATATGTCGAGTCGTGAAATAATGAGTTCGTCATGCAGCATTCAGACACCGAGATCCAGACGCCGAGGGAAGACCGCATGCCGAGAGGCCGTCCGGATCTTCTCAACTCCATGTCACCCGATACATGTATGGCTTCTATTGGGGGAACTTGCAGAAGTTTATAAACACCTCTCGAGACTGATCTTCGGCTTTCCAACATCAGAGTTTCATCAATTCCATCATTTCATTTACAATCACGGTCTACTTCTCGATATCTGGTATTTTACCAATCAATTTACCCTCAACCATCTATCATCATGGTTGCTACAATTCGTCAGTATAAGGCTGCTTGTGTACAAGCTGAGCCCGGATGGCTCAACCTTGAGAAAGCAGTCAAGAAGACTGTTGACTTGATCCTTGAAGCTGGCGAGAAGGATTGCAAGCTTATTGCTTTTCCCGAAGTTTGTAAGTTGCCCATACAACAATCCATCTCGTGCAATACTGATGACTTATAGGGATCCCCGGGTAGATTTTCTCTCAAATAACTCCTGACATAGCATGTACGGATACTGATATTCGAATCAAGATTTCCCTATTGGCTGTGGCGTGTGAATTACCAGGATTCGCTGCCCCTTCTCAAGAAGTTTCACCAGAACAGCATGCGACCTGACTCGGACGAAATGCGCCGAGTTCGCGAGGCTGCAAAGGCCGCTAAGATCTACGTCTCGTTGGGATATTCTGAGCTCGACGGCCATACCATGTACATGGCTCAGGTTATCATTGATCCAACCGGAACTGTCATCAACCACCGTCGCAAGATCAAGCCGACCCATGTGGAGAAGCTTGTATTTGGCGAGGGGAGCGGTGACTCTCTTCACGCTGTAGTCGAGACTGAAATTGGCAATCTGGGCCACTTGAACTGCTGGGAAAATGTACGCGTTGATCTCATGCCGATCCAGACAAACAAGCTGACAGTTGTAGATGAACCCGTTCCTCAAGGCACTCAACGCCAGCAAACACGAGGAAATCCACGTTGCCGCATGGCCTGTGTACGGCCCCGGCTCAGCCATCAAGTACCCCGACCCATACACCAATGCTTCCGAAATCCAATCCGACCACGTTACACCTGCGTACGCATACGAGACTGGCGCCTGGACTTTGGCCCCAAGCCAGGTTGTCACACGTGAGGGAGCCCGTCTCGGTCTTCCCGTTCGGCTGCAAAACGACGAGGCTGCCCTTGACGGGGAAGCTGATATTATTGGAAACGGCTATTCCAGAGTCTATCGGCCCGACGGATTCCGCGCTGTTGACGACCCAGCCAAGACCTTT